AAACTGTGGCCAATGACATGAGACAAAGTATATGTGAACTGCTGTATGGAAAGTGAATTTGCTCTGTAAATCTTCACCCAGATCACATTAAAAAAAAAAAAAAGAAGTTTAATAAACTAGTATACCCTACTCAAAATAAGAAAATATGTTGAAAACATTGGAAAACTACCTCTCATTGGAGTCTCCTCTTAAACTGATAAAGAAGAAAAATGGAGAAGGGAGCCCAGTCATTTCTAGGTTATATCATCCTGCCTTAAGAGAGAAAATAATAAATCAGTAAGAATTCTTAGGGAGACAAAAGCACATGGTTCAACTACTTTGTTATTAAAAAAAAAAAAAAATCTTAAGACTCCCTTAGGCCATCAGCCTGGAAGATCATGAGTTCATTTTCAAGCATTGTTAATTGTCCAGTGCCTTTGAAACATGTAAGAAGATGTGTTAAGTAGGTAGCATGATGCTTAGAGAGTTCTGGACTAAAGAAATCCATCTGTACCTTATTGTGTAATGGAGACAGCTGAGCTGTGGATGAGAGTGAGTTTACCCAGGCAGATTGAGAAGAGCAGAGCTAATACCAAGCCCCAAAGACCTGAAACTTTGAAGAGCTGGCTAGAGAAGACAAAGACAAGGGCAGGGTACTAGAGAGACAGGAAGAATCTGAAGGAGTCCGAAGTCAAGAAATGAAGGCATTTCGGGAAGGAAGGAATGTGCAAATCTACTGAAAAATCAAGTAAGAAGACAACTGAAATTGTCCACTGGATTTAGTGACACAAAAAATACTGGTGTCTTGAGCAGAGCAGTTCCAGGTCAGTGGTAGAGGTTCAAGCCAGACTAGTGTAGGAGGTCTCAGGAAATCAACACCATGTTTCCCTTGATGCTTATTTTAGTTAAAGATTTCTTTTGGGGACAAATGTTTGATGACCTAGGTGAAATAGCAGGACAGTCACTACATGTTCCCAAACATGTAAAAGACAATTTCACATGTTTTTCACATCAAAGAAACCCATGTGAAATTGTTCACTACAGATTAGTTAGTAAGCACAAGTAAGCCCATGTTTACCTTGCTGAATAAAGACAATTCTCTAAAGTAGTGATTCTCAAAGTGTGATTCCAGGACCAGCAGAAGCAGCGTTACTGGGAACTTGTGAGTCCTGTAAATTCTCAGGTTTAAATCAGAAACTCTGAGGATGAGGCCATGCACTCTGTGTTAATAACAAATGTGCCATGTAATTCTGATGCACACTCAAGTGTGAGAACCTCTGCTTTGGATAAGTCAACCACACATCCTGGACAGGTGTAAAGGGGTTTCCAGCTCATTTAGACTCTGCAAAGCTATTAGCTTAGAAGCTGGGCTAACGTTTTTTCACCCATCATGAGATTGCTGTTCAAATCAAAACACACCTTTGATGACAGACACAGAGTTTGCCAAGGGCAGCAAATACACTTTAAAAATCACTTACGCTGCTTGAAGACTTCAAGGGCCCGCTTCAGAGTGCTAGAAAACAAGCACATGTATAATTTCAGTTTGGAAATTTTCTACACAGTGTTATTATATTAGCTTTGCATGTTTCTGTCTGCACACAGCACATAGCCTGTAGACTCATCTTTGCCAGCATGAAAGCACAGCAAAAGATCAAGACTTCTGTGTCTAGTTTTCCCTTTCTTACCTGCTCAGTTCCAGGCATAAGCATCAAAAATCCTTTGCTGTCTGCCTGGACTGGACAAGATGCCACAACTCTTTGTATTTCCTTTGTTCCAACTATAGTCCAGTAATTATGGTTCCTATCTCATAGGAACACCATTTATTTATAAAGTATGGCGATCAGAAATACAAATACAAGGTAATAAAGGAAGGGCCCAAATCCTAGCTCCTGCCCACCTCCCTTTTCATTAATTCGATCATCACATATTTACTGAGCATAAACTATGGGCCAAGCACTGTGCCAGATGTTAGTGATTCAATGAAATAAGACAAACAGCATCCCAACCCTCAGAATCTAATGGGGGAGAGAGACATTAAACAAACTGTATTAATTTTCTATTGTTGCATAACAAACTAACACAAATGTCACAATTGAAAACAATACCCATTTATTATTTCAAAGCTTCTGTGGTTTAACTGGGTTCTCTGCTTAGAATCTCACAAGGCTGAAATCAAGGTGTCAGCCAGGCTACGTTCTCATCTGGAGGCTTGAATGAGAAAGAATCTCACTTTGCTCACGCCGGTTGTTAGCAGAATTCACTTCCTTGCAGTTGTAGGACTAAGAGCCTTAGCCTCTTGCTAGCTGTCAGCTGGAGGCTGTTCTCAGCTCCTTGAGGCTGACTGCAGTTTCTAGAGGCTGACCCAGGGCTTTCCCAACATGCCCATGTTCTCCATTAAGCCATTGAGAAGTATCCCTAGAACAAGTATGCTAGCAAGACAGAGTCTTATCTAATGTAATCAGGAGAATGATATTCCAACACCATATTGTAAATATGGGAAACCATGACTCATTTTTCATACCTTCTCAGAAGGAAGGTTGGGCAATCTACTTCTGTAGTGATACCGCCTTGGAAACCCAAGGAGGGGTCACCATGAGTCGTCAGATCCGACTTGACGGCAGTGAGTTTGAGGTTTTTGTTTTTGGTTTTTGGTTTTTCAATAGTACTTTTCTCTCTCCTATAACCAACTTCACATGGTTTTAGCACCCACCAACCTACAATTCTTGCAGTAAACCCCCTCTGAGGTGACTTGACCATGGCAATTTTCTTGCTCATTACTGTCTCATGGAGGCTGATCTCACTGGGCTCACTCCAGCCACTCACCTAAGGAATGGTACCTTGTGAATTCATGGACCTCCAGACACAGCAGCATACAATTATGGCTCATTTTGTATATGCAGGCAATTCTGCATATACATATGCAAGTAAAACCATATAATTTTCAGTTGGCCTCTTCTTTTAGCTACCTCATTTTTACCTATTTATCCCCAAACAAAAGGTACTTATTTCTCCCTGCCTTTTCTCACACAGGGAGCTCTGGTGGCAAAGTGCCTAAGACATTTGACTGCTAACCAGAAGGCTGGTGGTTCAAACCCACCACCCAGTCCTTGGAAGGAAGATTGGGCAATCTACTTCCATAGAGCTATCGCCTCAGAAACCCAAGGAGGGGTCATTATGAGTTAGGACTGACTTGACAGCAGTGAGTCTGGTTTGGTTTTTTGGTTTTTCTCACACAGAGGAGCTCTGGTAGCATAATGCCTAAGGCATTTGACTGCTAACAAGAAAGCTGGCGGTTCAAACCCACCAGCCAGTCCCATGGAAGGAAGACTGGGCAGTCTACTTCTGTAGACATACCGCCTTGGAAACCCATTGGGGGTTACTGTGAGTCAGAGTTGACTCAATGGCAGTGGGTTTGGTTTGGTTTTTTCTCACACAAATGTTTCCACCAACTATTACAAACACATCTAGCATAAAAACATTACTTCACATTCTCTGTTCACTTTACCTGTCTTGGGATACAATTTTTACGGAGTATGAATTCACTAGAAAATTGTCCTTATCCAAACAAATGTACCAGGATTTAGAAGAATGAATGTGTATTGCTTAAGAGTGGACTTTCTGTTGGAATTAAGAAAGAAAGATGGATATGGAAACAATTGAAAGTATCTCCCTATAGTGATTTGTGGGGTACAAAAGCCAGCCCTACAGATAAAGGATCTGTTCAGGGTCTAAAATCAGTATGAATTCATGCTTTTAAAATCCTTCCCCAGGGGGAGAATGCTGAACAGAACTTCAAATTCTCATGGACACTAGACTTTCTGGGGCCATGGAGGGTGGATGAACCCCTGAAACTACTGTCCTGAGATAACCTTTAAACTTTAAACCAAAAATATCCCCTGAGGTCATCTTAAAAGATATGCCTTGAGCATCACGTTCTTTTAAGAATGACCTATTTGGGATTAAAATGGCAACAACAACTTCAAAGATTCATGTTAATTAGGGAAGAACAAGTCAGAAAAGCAGGGTAAGAATGGTTGCACAACTCCAAACATGTACTCAATGTCACTAACTTTTACATAGAGAAACTTGAATCAGTGTATGTTTTGCTGTGTATATTCTTAACAACAAAATTTTAAAAATTTAGAAAAAAAATGCTTTCCTCCTAAAGGGCCTGGAAACAGTGACCGCTCCATGGTAATGACCAACCCTAGAACTGAGAACCAGCTCTGTGAATATCATTAGCCACTAAAAGGAACCGGATATCACTGGTGAAATAGCTGACTCCTGGTCTCAGGCAGGGAATATAGAAAATGAGCTTCAGATAGCTGGTGGTAGAAAGCAAGGAAACTCTCAAAGGCTGATAGGGCCAGGTCAAAAGACACAGGGGTCAGCTTAATGATTCGCACTGGCCAAAGGTGAGGCAATTTCAGATCAAATACTAAAATGACCATAATTAAGTATAATGAATATATGAAAATCAATGAGTCTATAATAATACTCAGAGAAGGTAAGTTATCTCCTTTGTTATCATCGAGGTAACTACTGCACAAATACTTTACTCTTAACTTGGTAATTAAAAAGAAAGAATTAGGCATTTACCTGCTTTCCCAATAGGAACCACATTTCAAGGAGACTAACATGGGACACCATGAGCTGAGAGCCCACTTGAGGGCAAATAACAACAACAATTACAATAAACAGGCCAGTTGATAAAGGAGAGCTCTTCTTTACAGGAAAATGCCAACTAATAAGTGTAAAAGTAATGTTAAAATTAGAAAAATCACCATTTTGCAATTTGAATGAAATAACTGATTGAGGCAAAAATCATGAAATGGAAACACAAGAGAGTAGAGGCATAAGTTAAAACAAATCCCAAACATAATAAAAAAAATTTAATAGGAGAGTTTTTTGAGATAATTGATTGGTTCAAATTCTTGACACTCCTCCCAATGAGAAGTGAGGTCTATGATTACTTCCCTTAAATCTGAGTGAGCTTCAACCAAAAGTGTGGCAGAAGTAATGCTATGTGACTTTTGAGCTGGGTCATCAAAGGCCACACAGCTTCCATCTGGCTCTCTTGGAATGCAAACTCTCGGGAGGCACTCTCTTGGGACACCTGCTCTCGTTACACAGCTGCCTTGCTGTGAGGAGCCCAAGTGGTATGCAGAGGCCACAGAAGTACTCAGAGACAGCCCAGCGGATCCCAGTCTTTGAATATTCCAGAACAGCCTCCAACATGTCCATGAAGAGGCTTCCAGGTGAGTTCAGCTCCCAACCTTTGAGTCTCCCCAGCTGAGCTGACATGGTGGCACAGAGACAAAAGATTGTGTCTTGTCCAAATCCCTGTCCTACAGAATCCATGAGCATAATAAAATAGTCATTCTTAGGATAACTGGGGATATGGAAGTGCTATGCTTTTCATTTTTGTGTATGTTTGAATATTTTCGCAAAAAAACAATTTAAACACTTTCACAAAAAAATTATATTAAGCATGACAAACATAAATAACCATTACATTTAAGTAATAGGAGCATAACTCATTCATTGTGTCAATCTTTTTACTGTTCTGTGTGTATTTGAATCTTTCATTTTAATTGTCAAAAAACAATAAAATATAGTCAGTCAACAAACTCTCTTTGAACTAATGTCCTGTATTTGAGGTAATAAGTTTTTAGGTTTATATAACAGGATTAATATTTGTATATTTCCCAATGTTTCCCATTTTTCTCCTTCTCGGTAATCCAGTACCTTTCTTTGTAGTCTGGGATTGGTGTGTGTGTTGTAGTAGAAGCAAGAGAAGGGAAGAACAAGTGTAATGTCCTGCCTGCCTCTATTTAGATATCTGAGGGGACATGGCCTCTGGGTATCCTGTCAGCTATCTGTCAAACAGCCAAAGCAGCACACAGATAAGTAGTGGTGTGATTAGATCTGCAGAGCAAGGGCCTGAATTACTCCTTCCAAGATTTCCTTCACATGCTTAAGTTGGAGAAGAAATCTAGAAATTCCCATATAAACAGCACCAACTATATAATGTGTGGGGCCTGGTATCACAGCAATACAGTGGTGGTGAAGAGCTCAACTGCTAACTGAAAGATCCTTGGTTCGAACCCAACAGCT